GAGTCCACAATATCTCATGGTTCACCTCCCCCTCCAGTTTCCCCCAACTCACTTCTCTGCTCCACCTCCCAATGTCCTCCATGTTGTTCCTTATGCTCCACAAATAAGTGAAACCTTATGATAATTGACTCTCTCTGCTTGACTTATTTCACTCAGCATAATCTCTTCCAGTCCCGTCCATGCTGATACAAAAGTTGGGTATTCATCCTTTCTGATGGAGACGTAATACTCCACTATATATATGGACCATATATTCTTTCTCCGTTCATCTGTTGAAGGACATCTTGGTTCTTTCCACAGTTTGGTGACTGTGGCAATTGCTGCTATGAACATTGTGTTACAGATGGCCCTTCTTTGCACTACATCTGTATCTTTGGGGTAAATACCCAGTAGTGCAGTTGCAGGGTCATAAGATAGCTCTATTTTTAATTTCTTAAGGAATCTCCACACTGATGGAGGCATAATACTCTATTGTATATATGACCAACTCAATTTTTAAAAAGTGAACAGGTCTGTGATTAATTTTAAAAAAGCCATCAATGTAGAAGCAGAGTAACCCTAAATATAACTAATTCAGAGTACCCCTTGTATCTTTTTGTCACTGCCTCCCAAAGGGAAACCTTCTAAAGGATTTTATTTATTTATTTGACAGAGAGAGAGTGAGAGAGAACACAAGCAGGCAGAGTGGCAGAAGAGGGAGAGGGAGAGGGAGAAGCAGACTCCTCACAGAGCAGAGAGCCCAATGCGGGGCTGAATCCCAGGACAATGACCTGAGCTGAAGGCAGCCACTTAACTGACTGACCCAGCCAGGCACCCCTAAAAGGAAACCTTCCAATACACAGATAAATCTTTACTACTTTTGAAATTTATAGAAAAGGGTGCTGCTCTCAATATCTTTCTACATATATTATTGTGACTATATATGCATTTCTGATGATGCTATCTATACCTGGGAGTTTCATTACAGGGTTATAGGCTATGCATCCATTTAACTTTAGTTGATAATACCAAATGCCATATTCCAAATGGTTTTCCCTTATATTCCCAACAAATAAAAATCTCTTGAATATATATTAGGTTTTTACTAGTGTCCCTTTAAGGTAAGAAATTTCCTCATTATTTTATACAAATATAAAATTATTCTGAGAACACTTTCATATGACTCATTCAAAGTCACGTAAGTAGTAACACATTGGCGATCACAACTGTAACCTTCTGATACTAAGGCTGCATTTTTGTACTTTTATGAGTAATGGATAATTATTTTATCATCAGATTCCAAATCTAGTTGATTAACTGTTCCCATTCAATGCAGCCTTCATGTGACTGCTGGATTTGTCTTCCTAAAAGCAGCTTTGGACGCCATTTCTATGATAATTTCATTTGTATCATGTGTTATGTTTAGCCCAGTGGATTTTCATGTGCATAATTTCATATAATTCTTACCAAAATGCTAGGACATCACACATTATAAGGTTATTAACTCCAGTTCACAAAGTGAAATGGAAACTAGAGAGTGCATGTGAGTTTTGCCCACCGTCATCTACTCAAGTGGTGTAGGCCTAGACCTACAACTTATCTCCTCAGACTACAGGTGTTTTGGGTTTTATATTTAAATTAGTATTATTATTATTCTTCATAAGTTGAGGGTGGCACTTTCATAATCTGAAATTGCTATGGGAAATGAACTGAATTACAGGATTTTGCTTTGGTTGTTTCTGAAGACAAGTGCTAAGAATTGTCACAGGAAATAGAGGGATAAGGAGTTTTGTTTTTTAAGATTGTACTATAGTAGGAAAACATAAGTATGAATCTTTTAAAATATATGGTTCCTAGTTTTAATACTTATTTTTATTTTTTTCTTAGCATTAAGTAACCTTAAATTAACTCTAGTTGGAAAAGAGCGTTCATTATTGAAATATCTCCCAAATGAGTTTAAGCATAGAATAACCATTTGGCTATTCAGAGAGAACTGAGAATGTGATTTCCCTAAACACAGACGGTTCAGGAGGAAACACTTCTAGTTAAATGAACAGTTGAAGCCTAAATCTTAAATAAATTAAGAATAATTGTCATCTACTTAACTTCTTCTGTTCAAAGTTCATCCAGACCTGAAGAGATTCTATTCTTTTAATACCATAGATGGAGTGTTTACCTCAATATAATGTTACTTTATTGAGTATTCAATAGTAGCAAGAAGTACTTAACCAGGTTACATCCTTTAATTGTTTTGGTAGATAAACTTGAAGCTAACATAATATTTAATCTCTCACATAGCACAGATTTTTTTTTTTAATTCATGTTTTCAGGCAATTTTTCAAAGAATGTCACAACCACAGCTAGACCTCAATGTGGGAATTCATGAGAGTTTAATAAAAATTAATTGAATTGTCATAGAAAGGTTGAAGCCAGACAAAACAGACAATTTTATTTCCCCATAGAAGTTTATGTTTGTTTGCTGTATTATGTTCCTTGCAAACACCTTTTAAAAACTCGGAGAGGAGTCCTTGGCTGTGAGCCCTGTGGTCCTCATTAGAATGGATCCCTCCCAATGACACACCTGGTACCTAGTATCTGCAGCAAGTACAAAGGCCAAACCCTGCAAACCGACACTGAGTGCAGAATCTGGCCCTCGCATGGTAGCGAGGAATAATGAGGTGGGTTGCCGAAACTTAATTGCAGGTCACTGAGAGGTATCTAGGAAGCCTCTATGGTCTCCAGCGGGAGGCTTGTCATTGCTCATGCTTAGGTCATTGTGATTTATCAACTTGAGGATCATCAAATTCCCAAAGCCAGAGATTTTAAATATCCTGCCTTTTTGTGAGAGGTACTGTCATTTACTTTGCCTTAATAACCCTTTCCATTTTGATGGCTAATCTGATATGGCAGCATGTGACCATCCTGGCATCTGAAGAGCGTGTTCATTAAATACTCCTAACGGCCTGGAAAATACTGCCTTATCCATCAGTCTCTCTCATACAGAGCAGAAGCTGAGTAGGAGAGGAGAGGGTCATCTCTTACGTACATCCTTTCCCAACCTGGAATACTACCCTAGTAGGTAAAAAGAGTTAATAGAGATGAGGCAAAAATGCAGAGAAGCCATGGACTTACATGTCTTTTGGCTACTTCCTCAAAAAATATATATATATATAGAATTTATAGGGCTCAGATGCTGGGAATACAGAAATAGACCAACCGTGATTCCTTAGGAGTTTCCCCTTCTGATTAGGTCTGCAGCTAACCAGACTTTTTTTTTTTAATTTTTTCATTTGTGGGTGTTTTTTGTTGTTGTTGTTGTTGTTGTTTTTTATCATAATTTTATATCCAGGTGAGCAAATAACTGTTCCAAATGAAACATCAGATGTTGGAGCTATACTAACAACTGACAAATCCATTTCTCTTGCTTAGATGTTTAATGTTCTACATATTGAGTATCAAATAGTATGCATGGGCCTTGGTTTTTGTATCAGTCAAATCTATAGATGGGACTGAAGAATCCCTTTCTCAGGCATCTGAGGATTTTTTTGAGTGTAATGTGAATTTTACTGGGTGTTGGAGAAGACATCTAAAAGGAATTTGATTTTTGCCCTTTAAAGATCTCTAGAGCAAATTCGTGTGATATAATTTATCATGTTATTTTCATTAATTTGCACTTATCTTCTCGATTCACCCATGAGTTCCTTTAGAGAAGGAATGTGTACTTCTGCTCCTGGTACAAGGTGTGGTGTATATTACAGTTTAAGCAGAGAATAACCAGTAAAAGTTTGCTCAGTAAAGGTTTGTTGATGAATATAAGAACAGCCCTTACTTTGAAGGGTAATGGCTTAATTAAAGAAGAGAAAATTCAGATGAAGAGAAAATGTGTGACAGGCAAAATGTGAATTCCAAACATTTTTTAAATATCCTAGAAGCAGATGCAAAATAACCCTGTGCAAGGGAAAAGAGAATTAGAACCGTGTGTGGGCTTCTCTTCGTCATTCCTCTTCCTTCACGGTGCTGGCCAGGGTTATTTCACACAAAGATCTTGTCGTCCCAGGAGCAGTAAGAGGGTCGTGCTCAATGTGTAAACACTTTTCAGGTCTCTTCATTCGTCATGTTTGCTAGTGTCATGTTGACCAATAAGAGTCATACAGCCGAGTTCAGAGTAAGTTTACGAGACATTAGCAATAGACGTGGGTACAGGGAGATGAAACAATCAGAATACTTACGGCAGTCCAGCTACTATAGAAGGGTATGAATTCCCAATACTGTCAACTTCCAATAATTCTGTATAGTGTAATTTCCAGATGTGCAAAAAATAAAATTGTGCAATATAATTCATGTGCGCATGCATACATTTCACGTACTTGTAAACAGACAAAGATCCAGAAATATTTTTTTAAATCTATTTATTTGACAGAGAGAGAGAGATCACAAGTAGGCAGAGAGGCAGGCAGAGAGGGAGGAGGAAGCAGGCTCCCTGCCGAGCAGAGAGCCCGATGCGGGGCTCGATCCCAGGACCCTGAGACCATGACCTGAGCCGAAGGCAGAGGCTTTAACCCACTGAGCCACCCAGGTGCCCCCAGAAATATTTTTTAAATGTCTTAATAGTGCTTACATCTATGCTTCTGATTTTTTTAAGTTTCTAAATAATGTATGTGTTTCTATATATGGCATAGGCAGGTGTTTTTAAGGAAAAGTTTCTAAGGTAATACAATAAAATGTAATTATGGATGGTGCTGCACAGTTTAAATGTCTTTATTTCTTCTGTGTTTTCCATGTTTTCTAGGAAATATATACATTCTTTATGATTAGCCAAATATATATTTTTAAAAACACTCTTAAAAAATTATATTGAATCGGGTCTCTTGTGCCCTCTTCCATCTGGTCTTCATTATGACACTGGAAAGGAGCGCTTGAATTGATAACAAATTCTTCTGAAAAGCAATTTCTTCCTCTATGTGCAAACCTTCCTTTGAAGTGTACAGCTGTCCCTGATTGCCTTCCTGGTCTCCTTTCAGACGTCCTGCTGGCATTGAAGACGAGTCCCTTTTGTTTGTCTGGGCAGAAGGAGCCCTTGAATTCACTGATGCTTCGGATACTCTGATGCCTTTCACGCTCTACGAATACCAAGTCAGAGCCCACAACTCTAGGGGGTCAGTGGAGAGTCTGTGGTCATCAGCACGGACCCTGGAAGCCCCACCTCAGTATCTGCTAGCACCTTGGGCACAAGCCACCAGTGCTCATTCGGTTCTGCTGAACTGGACGAAGCCAGACTCTCCCAACGGCATTATCTCCCAGTACCATGTGGTCTACCAAGAAAGACCCAATGATCCAACATTTAACGTCTCTACTGTGCATGCTTTCACCATGACGGTAAGACCTTAGGAAAAGAGAGTAACAGATGCTTAGAGTATCAGGTGAATATGTTGAAATTTATTCTTTATCCAGGTTATCATTTTTTTTTTTCAGTTAGAGCTTAAATACCTTAAAATCTTTCACATGTGAAAAAGAGCAGTGTAGTCACAGGGAAGATATGGAACTGAGTATAAGGGACACTGGAGACCAGTTTTCAGGCCACGATTAATTTGTATTACCTCAAGCAAATAAGCGAACCTCTCTTTGTGTGATCCATTAAATGGGGATACTAAATGTGTCTCTGTATCTCTCAGGGGGATGAAGCATAGATAAAATTAGACAGATATGGATATAGATACAGATACAGATTTGGTACAGACACATATATAGATACAAATTCAGAACAGATATATAGATAGATATGATATGATTGGCTTTTTGAGAAAAAAAGTTAAAATTTCTAGATCTACGTGGATGATATATAGATGTAGATATAGATATAGATACAGATATAGATATAGATATAGGTATAGATATCACATGCACCATAACTTATTTTTCTGGGTTGATCACCTCTGGCCTATAAAACAATTTAATTGAGTTCACTAGCATCTTCTGAGAGCTTTCGTTCCACCTGGCATGTGCTGATGTTCTATGGGAAATAGGGAAATAGGATGGTTCTTTTATCAGGGAGCTTTCTTTTTTATCATACAGCAGAGATGAGAATTGAACATGAGAAAGAATCAGAGAAGTAGTGCATGATAGGCTATAATATCCACCACATGGTGATTCAGGTCCCAAATTCCACCCACCACCTACCAAGCCGTAAACCACAATACAAGAGAGACTATCAACTACCAAGAGTTAGTCAAAAAATGCTCTGAGAGGGGGTGCCTGGGTGGCTCAGTGGGTTAAAGCCTCTGCCTCTGGCTCAGGTCATGATTCCAGGGTCCTGGGATCAAGCCCCGCATCAGGCTCTCTGCTCAACAGGGAGCCTGCTTCCTCCTATCTCTCTGCCTGCTGCTCTGCCTACTTGTGATCTTTGTCTGTCAAATAAATAAATAAATAAAATCTTTAAAAAAAAATGCTTTGAGAGGTCAGTAGGAAACCCTCAAACTAAAGAGTCTTCATGGAAAAGATGAAACTTGTGGTCTTAGCAGTTAAATACATACGGTTTTTAAGATGTGGCAAGACCTTGCTATATATGAAAATCCCTCATAATAAGAAAAAATAGTCAGAATAAAGCATTTTTCAAAAAGTAGACCATGCTCCTGTGCTCCCCTTCTAGGCACCCAAATATACCTGAAGGTTATCTTATAAAGTATAAACTTTATCAAAATGTCTAAATAATACTGAGAAAATATATTGTAATGAAACTCTGAAAGAACAGTTATAAATGAATAGTTTAAAGTACAATATCTTCTTCCTCTCCTTATGTTCAATTTTTTTCATATGACTAAAAAATAAGCAGCCTGTGAATTAAAGAGATAGTATTTGTCTTCATTTTATTTAGAATTCAGAACTGGTACTTTATTTTTTATGTTGTATTTAATTATCTTTCACATTACATCTTCCTAGAGCCTTCATTATAAGCATTAGAAGCAGTGTTCTTAAGTGTAGATCTTTTTTAGTTGATATGTGATCCGTGGAGAAATCTGTGACTTCTTACCATATCATTGGAATTCATGTTCTAAACTTCCACCTGAAAGCAAAATCCTAAAAAATAAAGTAAAAATACTAAAAAACTCTTGACAAAGGCTTTCTGAATGACACTTTAAATATTTTTATTAAAGGCACTAATATTGCAATAATTAAACCTCTGATTTTAAAATATGGCTTTTAGAGGCCTGAGCCTAAACATTTAATTTCCTAAAACAATTCTACTGGAATTCTCTTATGGAATACCCTCTACATCATTCTTTCATAGCTAGTTTCATCTCACAACACAAGATTTAAAGTATACAATGAACTCTGTCTTGTATTTAACCTGCCAGGTTCTGTTTTTATCACTCTGAAAAGTTCCTAAAAGAGAGGAAGGCCTGTTGCCCCAAGCTTTAAGCATCTTTAAGCACCTTTATCCATGGGCCCTGCCAACACAGCCCCTACCTGGCAGCCCAGTGTTGCTGTGCTCTTCCATTTTCCAAAGAGTAATCCTTGCACAATGCTAAAGAGGATAGCCAGAATGATCAGGAAACAGTACTATTTCCACCCTATTTTATAATGTTTGCATCTCTGTGTGTGTTCAGAATAACCGCCACCCCCCCCCCACCAATCTGGATCTCTGGCCCTGAGAATCCCGAGAAAAGATTTCATTAGGGTTATTAGGAAAAGCCCAATCTGAACTTGTTAAGCAATCAAGGACATCTCCCATAGACCAGTCGGACCAGTGTTCAGACATTGTGATTAGCAAGCCAGATTTCCAGGGCAGGACACCACTGTGACTCTTTATGGGCTGACATCTTTGAAAGAAAGAATCAGAAAAATAAACTATAGTCTTTGAGCTTCACACATTCCTACATCCCAAGAGAACATGTTTGAGCATTAAAAAAAAAAAAAATTAAAGAAGAGGGTTCTACCATGTAATTCCAATTCCTTACCATCAGAGAAGAATTTTTTTTTAATCCTACCCAAATCCTTCCTCCTGTCACTTAAGTCCATCCCTTCCTGTTCAGAACAGCATGACTTCTTTAAACCAGTGCAATGAACCTTCAGGGTCAAGAACAGATTATTGACAATTCAATCCAATTTGGCAAATGATCATTGAGCACCATATTCAGTATGCCAATACTCAATACTACAGTCAGCTGTATTGTTGAAGGCTACCACGAGACTGGACCCTTGGGCAGAGCAGAGACTGAAGGGGAAGTTGAGTAATCAAGTCTGAGGCACACTTTATTACTTCTAGGCATTTCAGATTTCTAAATTTCTTTGCTTCTAGGTTTCTGCTGCTCATGTACTAATGATTCCCTTTCAAATCTCTCTCTCTGAGTGTCTTCCTGGCTCTACTTAGTTTTTCTCTAATTCCTATACTAGCTAAACATCTTTACTGTCTTCTTCCCTGTCTGTGCCTGCCCTAGGAAATATTTCAAGCTTTTGTTTCACTGACCACTCTGGCTAGCATTCTCCAGAGCAACAGAACTAGATTTTTAATTGGCAAGGCACAGAATCCATCCCCACAATTGCAGGATTACAGTTTAATCCACAGACTTGCAAGAGGTATCACTAAATAGTCTCATTGAGTCTCCTGTTTATTGGTATCCTAGCTCTGCATGAGGGGCCACCAATAAATTGCCCATGATGTAGTGCCATCACTGGCTTGTCCCAATGTCCCCCCAGAGTGTTTATGGACAGGTGGACGTTGCTGGGAGAGCCACATAAAACAGGTGCAATGGATGCATGAATCCTCTTGATGGTGGCAATGGATGGAGAAATGGCAATGGGGGCCCTCCATGGGGGTGGAGAGCATATGTGTTGGCAGGAGCAGCAGCAGCAGCAGTAGAGGCAGCAGGAGAGGAGAAATGGAAAGAGTGTGGGTTTTAATGTATCACCAGCTTCTCTCCCAATCTCATGAAAAGTTTCACGTCCCTTTGGGCCCAAGTAGGTTCTTCTAAGGGGAAGAGAGAGATGTCTAGATTCCTAGGGTCTCTTCAGACCAATACTCCCCACTACTGAAAACAAGATTTAAGTAGAAGCCCTTAAATTCCCTTCCCAATTAGCTCTGTGATGAATTGTGCAGTGTCAGGAGAGAAACTGTATTTAGCCTTGCTTGGCATGCAAGAGTTCCATGGTGGTATTTACAGGGAACACTCCTGGCGAGGTTGGCGATACTGCTGCCACCATTCAGATTTGTTTGCTTTTTCTCACTGGCACCTGCCATCGCACTGGCAGAAATAACTTGGGATTTAAAGGCAAAGGTGGTTTACCTGTTAGTCTGTGCTCTCAGTATATCCCTGCTTATCCCACAGGGTTATGAAACATCAAGCCCAGATCATGCATTTGCCCAGTACCCTGAAAGATAGATGGTACTTCACTTTCTGGGTAGAATCAAGCATACAGTGCTGAGGGGTAAGGAAATTATATGGGTCACTAAAAGTTGGCTTCCAATCTGGAAATAAAATCCAGAATTACAAACTCTACTTCCTAGATTTTAGTTGCCAAACTCCCTTGCCCAAAGTCAAGGAAGAAATACTCGAAATTTTCTCTTGTGGTTGTCTCAGATCTCTTTACCGTTAAGTAGATATGTGGAAGGAAATGAGATGTTTCCTACTTGCCATATCGTGGAGAGTTTGTGAGTACATTGATTAATTTGTTTTTAATCCTATTTTTATTTTGGTTTAACATAATGTCAACTATTATTACTCTTTACGTATGTTCTTAATTAGTTTTAGCTCTCAAAATTTGATGGCTCTTAGCCTTTTCTCCCCTTATTTATAAGACAATAGGAATGCACTAGGAGATCTACGTATCTATAAGGACTCCTTTGGCGGTGACTATCTTTCCAAAATGAAGAAAGATTTGGTGATAAGAACAATTACTGTACTTTTTATATCAGTTTTATTAGCTGAGATTTTCACATTTTATAATGTAACTATGTTACTCATTCTTTATGTAAGATTACAAAATAGAGGTGGGTAAGTGTCTCAAAAACGATGACCACTTATTGGTGCCATCCATGTTGTTGTATTGTGATGATGTCTGGTCTGACATTAACTTTTCATTCATTAGCCTTGCATTACCTTTATCCCATTTTTCTAATAATATGGTACCAATCACAGATGTATAGCAGGGATCTGTTTTGCGCTCAGTATTACTGGAGACGCAAACCACGTAAGTCTACTTGAACTTCATAAAAGTACTTCTTAGAGAGAACTTTGTTTTTCTCAAACCACTTTATTCCAACGAGCTTCCTCCAGGACTCCCTTGCTCAATCATCACTAATTTCCAGGGCAGGTCCTATGGTTTTCCAGCCACATTCAGTGACAAGTACCAGCCCAGTTCTGGTAATCAGGATACATTTC